ATATCGTTAAAAAGAAAGATCGGGATAATATAAAACGTCGAGTAGTGCTTTACGTGCAGTAGTCGTTTAAATGTTCTGGAAATCTTACTCTTCTTCCAGAACGCGTCGTTTTAGGTTTATTTTCAGATACATTCGGAGTATCGTCGCTAGTGTTGGTTGTCGGTTGGGGAATTATGAGTGTAGAGTCGAGTTGTGCGATTGTACCGAAGGAAAGTCGACGTGAATAGGATTTCCTTCTAAATACGCTGCTTTTAAGCGATCGATGCTGATGCTATCGTTGGTTCCGTTCTTATCGACTATATAGTACTTAGATTCACGTTGAAGAACTTTGAAGGGTCCTTCGTATGCTGATTCGAATGGTCGTCGATGCGAGTCTCGACGAACGAAAACGTGTGTACTATATCGTAAGTCAGGTTGAACGAAAACATCAGTTGATTGAGGTCGAGTGGAAGCAGGTTTAACTGAACGCATTGCGTTTGTAAGCCTGTTCGTGTAGGAGGTTAGATCCATGTTCATCGAAGAGCACGAAGGATCCACGAATTCTCCTGGAAGTCGAAGTGTCGTTCCATAAACGAGTTGAGCCGCAGTGTATCCAATGTCAGCTTTCACTGCATTGCGGATACCTAGTAAGACGAGTGGAAGAGCGTCGGTCCATTGTGAAACGTTTGCAGCTGATAGCGAAGCTTTCAGTTGTCGGTGAAAACGTTCTACCAACCCGTTTGCTTGTGGATGGTAGGCGGTCGTTCGGAAGCGAGTGATTCCTAAAAGTGTGGTCAGACGACGGAAAAGATCAGATTCAAACTGACGTCCGCGGTCTGTAGTGATGGTTGAAGGGCAACCGAAGTTTGCTACCCATCGTTCGACGAATGTGCGGGCCACTGTTTCAGCAGTGATGTCCTTGATAGGTACTGCTTCTGGCCATCGAGTGAAACGGTCTACGCAGGTTAAGAGATAAGAGTATCCATTTGAATCTGGTAAAGGTCCTACCAAATCCAGATGAACATGGTCGAAACGAGCATCGGGAGTTTTAAACGAGCCTAAGGGACATTTATTGTGTCTGATAACCTTAGATTTTTGGCAGCTTACACAGGAGCGTGCCCACTCCCTCACGTCTTTATTCATGCCAGGCCAGCAAAATCGTTCTGCTATAAGCTTGATGGTTGCACGAACACCTGGATGAGAAAGTTTGTGCAATGTGTTGAAGACATTGCGTCGATAATGTTTCGGCACGATTGGGCGATCCCTACCTGTAGATGTGTCACAAAGTAAGGTTTCCTTACCTGTTCCCATCTGTTTGATGCGTAGTTTAAGTGTTGTGGACGATAACTCGTGCTGAAGATCAGTGTCTTCTTTTTGAAGCTCGGCGAGTTTAAGAAGGTCGATTCCTTGGAAACTGTTCAAGGAAGTTATGCGAGATAAGCGTCTGCAACTACATTGTTTGCTCCAGAGATGTGTTGAATATCTGAAGTAAACTGCGAAATGTAGTCCAGTTGTCGAGACTCACGGGGAGAGTACTTGTCAGAAGGAGAGCTTAACGAGAAAGTGAGCGGTTTATGGTCCGTGAAAAGAGTGAATTCACGGCCTTCGATATAGTGTTGGAAATGCCGTACAGCACAATACATAGCTAGGAGTTCCCTACCGAATGTGCTGTACCTCGATTCGGTGTCTAGCAACCTTCTAGAGAAAAATGCCAAGGGTTGCCAGGAGTTGTTAACCCATTGTTGTAAGACTCCTCCGATTGCCGAGTCGGATGCGTCTACTGCGATGCTAATGGGTGCTCGGGTGTCCTGATGTGCGAGCATTGTTGCTTTAGCGATCAGTTCCTTAACTGTGGAGAATGCTTTTCGTGCGGTGTCGTCCAAATTAATGGATTTCGCATTTCCACGAAGTTGGTCGGTCAGAGGTTTCATAAGTAATGCGCATTTCGGTATGAAACGTCTATAGAAACTTACCAGGCCGTTGAACGTGCGTAATTGCTTGACGGTGGTCGGTTCTGGGTAATCCAGAATGGCCGCCACTTTGGTTCTAAGGGGTCGGATACCTTGAGCATCGATAGTGTGTCCCAGAAAGTCTAACGAGTCGGTTCCAAATTGGCATTTCTGAACGTTTACAGTTATGCCATGTTTTTGTAATCGTTCGAAAACAAGGTCCAGATGCTTGAGATGTGTTTCTCTGTCCGGACTTGCGATTAGACAGTCGTCAACATACGCGTGTACGAAGTTGAGACCTCGAAAAACGTCGTCTATGAATCTTTGGAATGTTTGAGCAGCATTCCTTAGACCGAAAGGCATTCGCAAAAATTCATAGAGTCCGAAGGGAGTTATGATAGCTGTTTTCGGTATGTCGTCAGTAGCCATAGGGATTTGGTTATACGCTTTAACCAAGTCGATTTTCGAAAAGACAGTTGTACCTTTCAAGGTAGCTGTCAAATCGTGAATGTGAGGCAACGGGTAACGATCGGGAATGGTTTTCGCGTTCAATCGCCGATAGTCACCAGTTGGACGCCAATCGTTGCTGTCCTTTTTAGGGACCATGTGCAACGGAGATGCATATGGGCTACTTGACGGTCGTATGATTCCTAAGTCCATCATGTGATCGAATTCGTTTTTCGCTAACCTTAGCTTTTCAGGAGCTAGTCGTCGTGCTTTAGAGAATACAGGTGGTCCTGTAGTCGTGATGTGATGTGTAACATTGCTGGTTACACACGGTAGTTTCGGTTGAGTTTGTTGTATCCCAGGGTACTTATCGAGTAGTGGTTGATAGAGTGGGTCTATCATATGTTTAACTGTGACTGGGGATACTCTACAACCAGTAAAAGAAGTTACGCAAACGGACAAATTAGTGTTTCCGTCTACTAGCCTCCGTTTGCGAGTGTCGATGATCAGATTGTGGTGTTGTAGAAGGTCCATACCAATGATTGGCATAGAAACATCTGCAACGACGAAAATCCAGTGGATGGGTTTGCGTAAACCCACGTTAAGGTAAACGTACCTTTTGCCATACGTAGCGATCGGTTTTCCGTTTGCCGCCTGTAAGTTTAGGGTCGATTCGTGAAGTCGGTCGTTAGGATTTGCTGGGAGAACGCTAACTTCTGCGCCAGTGTCGACGAGGTAGCGAACTCTCGTTGTCACATCTGTGACGAATAACAGACGGCTTTGTTCGCCGGCTACGGTTGCCGTTAACGCGTGCCGGCTTGGAAGTTTCCCGAATTGTTTTTCGAATCAGTCGGTTTCGTGTTGGGAAAATTGCAGGGTTTTCTGCAATTTCTGGAAAACTTTCCATACTGGTTATGATACCAGCACCAGTCGGGGTTATCTGTCTCTCGTGGTCTAGAGACAGATCGCTTACGAGAAATGCTTCTACGTGGTGTGCGCGATCTCTTACGGTCGGTACGAAGACTAAGATAACGCGTGAGTGTGTGACATAAGTCGGTTATATCATTCTGAGTCGTGTGAGGCTTTTCTTTGACTGAAAATACCTCGGTAGTAGGTTTCGTAATTTCTAGAATGCGGTCGGCAGATGCAGCTAGCTCGTCTAAGGCGTTGTTCTGGAACGAGACCAGAACTGCTTGCACCTGTTGGGGAAGTTTTGACAAGAAGAGTTGTTTGAATAGACCTTCGTCGAAAGTTCTTGGGCCTATAACCTCTCTCATCCGTTGCAACATGTCTGTCGCAGAACCGTGTTGCAGGTCGATGTTATTGAAGAGTTGATCTAACCTTTGTCGATCGGTTAGGTCTCCTCGTTTAAGAATCGAGCGTTTTAAGATTTCGTAAGGATCGGAAACATCACTAGTAAACATACTAGGTGTTACGTACCTGTTGAATTCGCGCGGTAGTGCCTTGACTACTGCGAGGAATTGTGCACGTGTGTCGATCACGCCGTGCTCGGAGAAGTCGGCTTCTGCGTAGCAAAACCAGGCTTCGATGTTGTCGGGCCAGAAAGGCATCAGTTGAAACGAAGGTGGGGACAAGGTCTTAAGCTTGAGTACTTTAGGTGTCTGTTCAGTCATGATGAAATATGAAGTACGATAATGAACGAGGGGAAAATATATATATATCCAAGAAAAAAACGAAAAAAATCACAATGTTTAAAAAAAATAAAAAATAAGGCAATGATATATAAAAATCCCAAAAAGGAACAGACTCACAGTTGCAATAAGGTGTACCAGATCACGACGGTCTCACCAATGATGATGTCACAGGTATTCAGTGTTTGACAACGCTTCTACCAGTAACACCTTCTAATATATTTCGTTCCCACCAAGAGAAATCAAAAGACAGAGTCGAGGAGATCGGAAGAGTATATTTGGCGATGACCAATATATCGGAATTCTCTGATCTAATCTGGCTAGCGATTGCGGTTGATGTTGAGCACGGCGTTACCATACGTGATCTGGTGCGGATGCCTGACCGAGCGCCTTCAGCTAGATGAGTCCACTAAAACATATGGTCAGCATCCAATGTCGAAAACTTAGTGCTGTATATTTTGGGGATTTATTTACCGCTACATCCCCTTAGAAAGCTACTCAAGTTAAGCTCCTACACAAACCTAAGGGGTAACATCCAAGAACTGGAGACACAACACAGTATAAAGGACTGTAGACGTAACTTCCAATGTTTAAGAGTCGTCAAATGCTGGAATTTTCTGCCGGCTGAGCTAGCCCAAGCGACTTCTCAGGAGTCCTTTATGAGAAAACTTGACCTATTCTTAAGGACTTGGGGTAAGTACCTTACTATGATTGATCAATTTTTTTTACTCTATTATAGTTAATATACCTAGGATCCTGTCTGTAGGTATTGGTGATCCATTGCTACTAGACACGAAAGCCTGTTAAGGGAAAGCATGTTCTGGTCCGTCCACAACCACTTGAAGCACTTGAAATTCTTGTGGAGCGTGAGATGAGTTCCGCGTTACACTTACGACCTCTTTTCTCTTCCTGTGAATTCATGTTGTTGGGTTTATTCAACATAGATCTTTAACGGTTTCGTACATAACATAAAATGGATAAATTAGTCAAATTCTTCAAAGAAAAGAATGCAGACCGAAAGTTCGCCAAATTGGGAGAAGGCCATCGCCTTGGTGATGCCAGTGTTCAACATTCTGCTTCTACTGCTAATGCTAAACGTCAGTCGACATCATGTCAAAGTACACCACCTTCTTCAAAATCAGTGGAAGCCACTATGTCTAGGATAGCCATCACGGAGTCTCGAGGTACTAGTAATCAAACTGGTATGTTATCCTTTTTTTTCGTTGCATGCACCTAAAACTTACACTTTGTTTTGTCTTTCTGAGCTGCTATGTATTGAGTATGTTAAAACACTGTTCTTCCCCTTTTGTCATGTGGTTGGGACGTTAGACAGCTTTGGAACAACTCGTTTCCACAACTTGTCATTATTTCACTTAAATTCGTCTGTATTTTCCTTAATTTGGACACAAGTAACTATGTTAAGAAAGTTTTATTTATGTGTGTTAGGCTTTTCTCGATTAGGCGTCAGGAATTGTTGTGATTGGAGGAATGGGTGATTCCAGGAAATTGGTTCATTTATGTTGATTCAAGTAACGTGACGAATACTTATCACTAAACCGGATGTTATATGGCTACACAGAGATATCTTCCCTCAGTAATAGTTTCTCACCACCAAAACAAACAAAGTGATTGGTGTAGATATTCTAACCGTGATGGAAAATTGAATCTGTTTAAGAACTTGCACCGAATTGCTTCTCTCAAGTCTTTCGTCGTAAGTTGAACTAGTCGCATTAGCAACTATACACACGTTGAAATAACTCAGTATACCTTGCATGATTACTAGACTAATTAGGGTGCGAATTCTAGTAATTCAGTCATAGAACGAAGTCCTTAATCGTTACTTGATAAAACATGACCGTTGGTCATCTAGATGAATATGTATTGATCAATTGATTCTGTTATTTATGTATAAATAGCATAACTTACTTGTCAAATAAGGGATTTCAGGAGTCAAGGTATTAAAACACAGTTGTCAGTGGTCTTTTGCGTCTGTAATAGTATTTTAACAAATTCTCTTAAAACGCTTATGAACTTGATGTTTGCATACTTTCACAGTCATTATCAAGTGCCTCTGCAATGACCAGCAATGTTTTCACCAACGAAAATAAAAAAACCCATTTTAAACAACTTTCCTAAAATTCTAATCGTATTGATAAGCGGAAATTTTCAAGGTTAAACTAAGTAGATTTAGCGAAACAGGTCGGCTAACTACACGTACAGATGTCAGAAAGGACTAGTGATGGTTCTTGTCCTCTTGATATCAAACTTTTCCGATCACTTAACTCAGTCAACTACTACCGACTGATAGGCTTTCCTACTTTAGGTTTTTATGGGTTCTCGTGAATGTTTTACAGTTTCGCAAGCTTAAAGTGTATTCAGATCACTAGAATATTCAATAATCACTTCATATTTCTAACGTTTCAAAATTTATTCTTTCACGCAACAGGACATCCATTATTCCGTAATTAATATATTTTTTCTAACCCTTTTAGCTAAAAATTGTACGTCCTGTTCGTTGACCTTTATCACTGAAATGATGAACTTTTTATTGTCATATGAACCCTGTGTATGGGTCCCTAGATGTCTGTACTCACGATATAACTGTATTTGTTAGTAGTAATAAATAAAATTCGTGAGGGAATTTTTTAATATTACGTTACCCCATGGTTCATGTCGAAAGTAGCTGATAAGTTGGTATGTAGTTTTGAAAAGGCACTTTCTTACTGATTGATTTGCTTAAAAAAATCCGGCGAGACTTTAATTTAGGGACGAGCCAATCAGAAGAGTCTGAGCAATTTTAATTATTAGTCAATAAGAAGATAGCATAAAGTAAAAATATATTAAAAGAAAGTAATGAATTACAGTGGATATTCTTCTTTTACATGATTTAAAAACTCGTATGTTAGCATCCTAACCCTCACCTAACCTTAAACCTAAACCTTAACCCTCAACTAACCCCAACCTTAACCCTCAACTAACCCTAACCCTAAACCCTAACCTCACCCGTAAACCTAACCCTAACCCAATGGACGAGTTTCTATTCCATATGCATCGTGAATTCAGAACCTCTGAACCTTAATCAAACTTTAACAAGTTTTTAAATCATGTAAAAGGAGAATATCCACTGTAATCCATTACTTTCATATAATATATTTTCACTTTATACTTACTTTCTTCTGATTGGCTAATAATTGTCAAGGTCACTTAAGATTCGTTCAAAGGTCATCCTTAAATTAGAGTCTCGCCAAAAATCCAATTCCACTTATTGGGAGTATTTTACAAAACGACTCAGTTTTAACGTGTCATTTCTGCGACAACGTATAAAGTAATAGGAATACTACTGTAGTGAACGAGAACAGGACAGTCAAATGTATCTCAACATAAAGTTACAGAATCTCTTAGTAAAATCTGAGAACCATACACTAAGTACTTCATTTGCAAAATGTCAATCAATTATCTGTGATTTAATTGTTCCTTCGTGTCCAGGCCAATCATTTTCTGTTCTCGCTCTCTTTTCGACCTTCTTAAACGTCCGCCTCCAGGCATTTTGCTTTCGATTGATGATGCATAATACGTATATCTGTCGACATCAGCAACACACACCACACTACTGTATGAATAAGACAGTAAGATGTACACAGTGTAATGTCATCACAGTATTTTTTATAAATTCCACAAATAAACTATGTTTAGTTTGATGGTAAACACTAATGTATGTAACGTCAAATTAAATTTAATCGTTTGAAATTTCATGTTTTAATGGTTTATATAGTAAGCTCCACTGAGAATGAGAGGAATCTACAACACAAATCAGTCGAAGTAGAAAATGCGAAAGAAATCCATGCTGAAAAACCCATATTTATTCCAAGTAAGCTGTTTTCTGCTAACTTTCCTTACTTTAGCTCGTTTTTGTTAAAGTGGAATGATTGTTTTTTTGTGCGAGAGGGACGATAGGTCTTTACTGACTTAATAGGACGAGAATCTATTTTTATTTCTATCTAGATATTTACAGTGAACCTAAGTCAATCACACTGCAACTCAGTAATGAATTACAAGTTTATCTGCTAGAATTTGAGCCGAAATTGTTGTGTAAAAGCTAGAAAAATTACCTGGTTAATTTTGTCTTTAGTACGTTTAACGCTTACCGGACCACTGACCTTCGCTTGACCAACGACGCCATTTAACCGATAACAAAAATCTTTAAGCAGCGATCGCAAGAAGTTTTATTCCTGTTGGTTTAAGACGCAGCGCTAATCTTAGTATTGTTCGTATAGGTTTATTCTTATTCGATTTAGCTCTGCTTAAACTTCTGACTATCTTGGTGATTATATCCGCTTCTTCGGAGTTCTTGTTTACTTTTTAGTTTATAGATCAGTTGAGATATTTAATGTCATGATAGGGTCGTTCCAACTTTCTGTTGCCAATTACCTCCTGAACAGTGTCATTTTTATCTCATCGTCGACCTTTATTGCAAAGGCAGCTAATGCACTAAAGAAGACCGAGCCTTGCTACATATTCTTGGTTAAAAGTGCATATTCATTCCTCCAGTCCCATAAACAATAAACAATTCTTAGTGGGTACTAATAGTTCTTAATGACTAAAGATTCATTACATGGAGTCCGCTTGGGCGAAGGGCACGTTGGATAAAATAGCTGTCTTTAATTTTCTGATATATTGGTATCAGATATTAGTTCTCATCGTCGACATTTTCTTAACCTTCCACTTTAAGTGCCATCAAGCCTCCCTTGGACTCCTCCGCTCCACTCACATTTGAATGTTCAAGTTGAAAGATTTTTTCACAAGTTTAAGATATCACTGGTCAAGGTAGATGGGAAAAATGAAGAGATGGAATAATATAAACATTTCTAGTAACATATCGTGAAACACTCAACTCTGTATTGAAAACCATGTCAGCTCAGCAGAAGCAATATTCTGAAGGAAAATTATAATACCCATAGAACGAATAAAACCTATTCCCAGACCAGTCCTAATCTGGATTAAAAAAGCAAATTCCAACAAAATAAACAATATACCCCACCTTTAATTTCCACTTTCATGGTATTATGTTTTAGATTTACCAGACGTTAGTATTCTGTAGTAAATGTTTGCAGCGTCATGTCATTATCTTTTTCATTGGGAAATAGCAATGGCGTACAAAAATCAGCATCGGCAGATGACTGTAGTCCGGAAACAAGTGATAGACATTTAAAATGATCATTAGATAGTGCTCGACTAGTAAACTAACTTTTCAAGCGTATGTAAGATAGTCTTCATCTGCTTTCTTCGTTAGTTGGAGATAATTATGGTGAATATGGATGAATATGACTGTTCGTCAAAAATTTCGACAGTCTCACCAAAGCTTGGTTCAATGAGGGATATTTTGGTAAAATATGATTCTTGTATTTTTTATGCTTATTGGAACCAAGTTTTTTTAAAGTAATCAAACCTTAACTTCTTCCATAGCAGTATGTTTTACCCTAATATTATCTATTCTGCTGAATCAAGATTCAAATATATTTTTACTTTCTGCACTAAGAAAGCTTTGTATTTAACTGAGACGTCATTCTATTCGTTTTTGATCTGGTATCATTAAGGTTTGCATAGAGAACTTTGTCGACCAGTTATGTCCACCAATCCTCTGGTATATCTTTCTATGTCTAACTTGCATTTTTTGTACACATGTACTAGGAATTTTTCGATTTATGCTTTGGTTTTTGTTTAGATAAATGATAAATATGTGTATTGCGGGTGGCCTAAATCTAATGTTCAACTAGTAAGATTGCCAGGAACTATTTCGTACGCAGATATGTAGCTCTATCTTAGTAGTTTGTATTTTTTTAGTTCTTAGTCATCAAGTTATACGTTTAAACGTAATTTTGCTCATCTCATGTGACCTGTTTACAATAAGTATGAGCAAGGGCTTAGTAAATAATCCTTTATATTGTTGCCCTTGCTACTACTACTGGCACTAATAACAATGATATTATTATTATTATTAGTAGTAGTAGTAGTATTACCGACTCATTCATAATTAAAGCATTATTCTGAATACCATATTAGTGTGAATGTAGGACACAAACTTATGTTTGCCTTTTCAATATCGGTTTATCTACTCTTTGTGTTTTAACAATCAGTTAGTTATCCATTTGCAATTTTTCTAGTCTGATTCCATACAAATTTATATTATCTGTAATCTAGTACTTCTCTCATCATGAAACCATATAACATCAGTTCAAAACACTTCATTAAGATTTTAACACATTTATTTACATTGTATTCTACTTATCATATTATTGTTCATTTTCTATCAAACTCTATGAAAAAATCAATAAGTTATCATTAAATTATTGGGTATCTATGGAGGGGGTAGTTTATTGATTAAATTTTCACGTTAGAATTTTTTGTATTGATTGCTTAAAGTAATTTGTCATGTGAGTAATTTGATGTTAATTTGCGTAATCTACTGTCAAGTTAAGGTAAATTCTAATTGTATTTGTTCAACAAATAATCGTTGTAACAGCGGTTTAATGATTAAATAACACTAAAGAAATACAGACTCCTAAGTAAGAACTTTTGTAATTTTTTTGAGGATATTTTTCCTTATGATTTGAAGTCAGTTGAATAGCCCACTTAAAATGAAGAAAACACTAGTGTCTTTTCATCTTGGACACCGTTTAGTAACTTGCACCTACAATCAGTCGCACCAAGGGTCGAACTCAAGTTTTTCAAGGCTTGTGTCAAACCCATTGTTGATTTTTGTAACGATTTGTATTTCCTGATTTCAGTCTATTTGTGACGTAACATAATTGTTCTGTATTCCTTTTAACTCGCTATATTATTCCTAACTTGATTAATTTCAAAGTTGATGAATCTCTACTAAAACGAGGAGAAATTCATCTCGGACTAATAATTAGTGCGCATACTGTGCTGTTTTGAGAATTATGTCTACTTTGCAAATAATTGTTTTTATGAGCTGAGATCAAATGGAGAATCATTTACCTATCAAAGGAACTTATACACGAAGTAGTTTTACCATAATATCTGTAGATTATTTCATCTATTTGTTGTCCGTTATGTTTGCATGAAATCGTTTTCTTTGGAAAGTAGTCTTTCGATATCATGATGTATAATAAAACTTTAGAAATGAAAGCAAATAACCTAATTTGGCAACTTTGTATAATTGTCTAAATGTTTGTCATATTATCAATTTTAGTGAGCTCAGAACTAGTTCAGTAGGATACAATTTAAAATTTTAAACATATGGCAGGATTCTGACGAAGTTTGTATATTACCGAGCTGTCAATTGTCACTGTACGCCCAATAGTACAGTAACAATGTAGATATTTTGTTTTTCCATGATATCTAATTAAATCTAAAAAAAAATTTCGAGCAACTTAAACACCCACATTTGCGTATATTTTAATAGATTTGGGATTGTCATTTGTCTGAAATTATGGAGTAGTGGCTTATTGGTTAGGAGGTTTGATTTTCAACCACAGTCCCAGGTTTAAACTCCTCTCCACCTACTTTAGTTTGGGCGTCTGAATAGTATCATTAACCCTTACACTACTTTAGCTCATACCCAAGTACCTAATGAATGAATTAAGTTTTTTATTTTATTTTTTGTACTACTACCAAATATTGTTATTGTTCTCACTATCCGTGACGCGATGATGCGGAAAATACCTTTACGATCCAGCCATCGATCTTCCCATAGACATATTAATTTTTATAGTACCTGTATTTACCACTATTGGATTATGTCACTGGATAATACTTGATTCTGTGTATTCCTTTTTCTTTGTGTAATTGCACTGCATTACTGAGTTATGTTATTTATTATGGCTTATTAATTTCAGAGCTTTTATTTTGGTGCCCTAATCTTTTTGGTGATACAGTGGTTGGAAGTCGGGATGAGATTGAACAAGCTATCCAAAATTATCTCTTATCTGGTTCTGTTTGTAATACTAATGAAGCCATAGTGTTAATGGTTATCAGAGGAATAGAGAAAAGTAAACTTCCATCATCTTCAAACATCCCATTGTCAGAATTACCGTCTCTTAGTGAAATTAAACAGAATCGTAAACAGAATATCGTTAGAATTTTACAAAATTTAATTAGTGCACCAGAAAATCCAGTTTATCGACGTCTGCGTGCATCAAATAAATTGATACAAGATCTTTTGTCTATCGATGGATTAGAATCTTTTCTCACAGTAATTGATTATTTTTATATATACAATTATTGTTTTTATTTTATAATGCTTTTGATAACTATTTTGTAATGGTTTGATTATGTAATCGTTTGAAAGGATTGCATTCTAGAGTTCTATGTTATTTTGGGTATGAAATCTAAGTGCTATTTAGAGTTAAAATACCTTTGAAGAATTATGTCAGTAACTTGCTTACTAAGTCCCTAGGTTTTTGTACTTCATTTTGAGCCACTAAGCTAAGTGCAAAACGATTTGAACCTATAATATATTGAATAAAAGTAAAACTTTCTAAACAATAAACTCAGCGTTTCATCCGAAATTTCGATGCTATATCGACTAATTTAAAATTTTTCGCTCTATAAGCGAGCCTATTCGATCTATTTTTCTTGTCATAAGTTCATATATAATGTCTGTGATAATTCAGTATATGTTGTTACATTGCATCATTCAAATTATTCTATGCATTATCCTCCCACAAATGCCCTGGTACGGCCAAGAGTGGGGAGAGTCAGCTTTTCCTCTCGAAATTCTCTCATATGGCCACGTGCACACAACCACTGCCACGAAAGTCCTACTCACTGCCTTCTTGCGGCGCGGGTGTCGTTTACGAATTGGAGAGAACGAAAAGCGAATGTCCGGCACTTTACCGGTTGGTGGACACGGAGAGTCCACGTAGGTGAGTTGGAGAACCCTGATTCCAAACCAATGGTGTACATGGGCTCCAGGATTTTGAGGGGGGGAATGGCATATGAACCAATTATTGGTCACTGGCTACCATGGTACTGCATCTCCTCACGATGCTCCACTGACTTATGGGTCAGACCTTTAGGTTGGAGGCTCCGGGTGTGGCCCCCTAAGAAAATCACCTGCTTCGTTTTGGGCACCCGGGCAGCATCACAGCCCTCACACAAATCAAATGGGATTTGTGTGGTGCATATGCATTCAGTGCTCCTTTGTACCAATATTTATGTGTTCAAATAAATAAAGGAAATTATACACAAAAAATTGTGACTTTGAATTTTACTGTTCTAGATAAAGCTATAACCAGAAACATGTTTATAAAACTGTCTTGTTAGTTGTCACACTATTCTTCATTAAATTTATGGACATATCTTCCTAATATTGTACTACTGATGATTATTTTATTCATGCATTACTGAATGTTTATTTCTCTTTCTATAAATAATTTTTTCTTGTGTAAATCAAAATACAGTTATGTAATTTTAAAAAGATGATGTTACCTGCCACACGTCCTAGTGGGCAACAACAAGTCGAAGGTGATGATGAAAAACCAACCGTGGGGAATAACGAGGATGCGGTTGAAGAGTACAAGGAGGCTTTCTATGTAATATCAGAAGAAGATGCTAACAAAAGAGAGCATTTAGAAAAACTGTTGAATCTATTTACCATAGCTGATCCTATTCTACCTGAATTATATCGTAATACCAAAGTGTATCGAGTGAGTTGTAGTTTATTTTTTTCCATATGTTTGGGTATACATCATAAACTCTGGTTAATACCCTTTCATGATCAAGTGCTTTCGTTTGACTGAATTTAACCAACTTGTTCATATTCTGTAATTCACTTAGCAAGTACATATTAATGTATTCAGCTTTGAGCTACATCGTTTACGTGACAACTACTGGTGATACACTAACCAGCTGGGTAAACCTGAAATAGGAAAAGTAGGTGTAAGAACCTGACTTATTGATTGAAAAACTAGTGATCCAAAATTAGTACACTACTAATAAACTAAATTTAATTCATTTCAATGTTTCTAGCTTCACTATTACAACCAAATAAAAATAGCACGCAAAATACATGTTCTTTTTTACTAGTTAACTACCTATGGCTATCTAGGTGAATCTGATGCTATTGTTGGTTTGTTATACTCATTCATGTCAATCTGTATTATTTCAACTGGATTCATTATGTTATTAACACATGACGTAATCAACCACCTAATTATTATCGCGTATCGTCAAGTTTACAAAACTTATGATTCTCTACCTAATTATCTTTCCAATTAATAATTCTTCATTGGGAAGACTAGAAGTTACTGATAAGTCTTGCTAATTGAACGCTATATTCAGTTCCTAAACTATTCTCGCAACCCCCAAGCTAGAACTATACAGCGACCTGAACACAAAGAAAAGGCGCAAAATTTAGGATTACTTTACTCCGAAGGTTCGTTTTATTACAGAAAATATAGGGTTTTTATAGTATTTTAGATGTCCTTGGGTTTCCCGAAAATTCTGGAATGCTACTAAACATAGTAGCAGTATAGTAATCAGCCAATCAGAAACTCTACGTGTGACTTTTCACTTTCCTGGTGTTTCTGGCTAAACTTCAACTGAACGCTGATTGGATAAAATGCTTCTTAGTGTTTCCTGAACCTTTCTTGTCTTTTGTGAGTTTTCTGGATCACCCCAACAGTTACACATTCAACTGTATTACTCTATGGTTTAAATCTGATGCACTGGCCTCAGTACCTTATAAACCCTACATTGATTAGGGCATATAGACTGAGTGCCTATTCTATTACTGATACGAGATTAATACGACAGTCAGAAGACCTAATGAAATTCCAAGTCGTCAACACTTAACACAACATACGATAAGAATATGGGAGATTGACTTTTTACAAGAATGGTTTAATTATCCCTAGAATTGGCTAGTATTATCGGATATGACTATTTTAATGAATTTATTTGTAACTTATTACCAGGCTACTGGTCGTACTCTGACGTGTATTCCGCGTGATCATCTTCCTGATGAGTTTTTCTCCCTAACAAAAGAAGAATTTCGTAAATGTTACGATCATCAACATCGAATTATAGAAGAAGGTCGTATGTTACTTACCAAAGCCATGAGAGAACGATTAAAAACGCAACACATGAAATCGTTTCGTTACGCTGTTATTCGTGTTCGGTTTCCGGATAACCTTCTTCTTCAGGTTTGTGGTTCTCCTTTTTTACTGAATTGTGTTTATTTAGTCAGTTATTAGTTAACGTTACATGTTACAGTCGTTTCTCTAAAAACATTTTATCCACAGTCTTTAAACGTAATGTACTAATTTTCATGCTTCATCTTAAGCAATCTGTAGATCTCTGATTTGTGCATAGTGCAGAAAAGAAAACATGAAATGTCAATTATGGTAAATAACTATATCTAATACATCCATAAAAATCATATGGTTCGTTTATCACTTATTGTCGATGTTTGGCAACTGAATCATTTCAAATTGTTTGAATTGAGAACTGACTGTTCACTTATAGAATAATTTAATTCATAGTCAGCAGTGCATCTGTCTATCATATGAGTTAAAAGTTTGCTTTTTGCTACTTTGGGGTCATCGAATATTGCTTTGAAGATATACGAAAGTTTCTGGTATTTAATGGTAGGTCTCTTCAAAGCACAACAAAGCGTGGTGTTACCACTCAGTAAGCAATCCCAAAGTCAGTTTTATCTTAGTAGATAAGAATGTGAAACCGTTTACCTAGGCTGTAAGCATTCATCGTATAGGTAGTTGGAGAATGTTTTACTCATGTTCATTTTGACATGTAAGCGTATTTGTTGTGTTAACCATCATAAAAAGTAGATTGAAAAAAAGCCATGGATTGGCAAGACTGAAATACATCATCAAGTCATGAAACTACAAAATATGAGACTGTGTATGTTGGACAGTGGAAATTTTGTGGTTGGGATCTACGAAGTGATTGGTCTCCAGAGTTGGATATCTTTACAATGATGCAGGTGCATACACTTTATGTTTCCCTGAAGTCTTCAGGTGTTATTTTAATTTTTCTTTCATTTCCTTGTTTCACTCGTTCTTTTTGAACTGTATTACTATACCGTAGTGAACAAGAACACGAGTGAGGACAACCGAATGTATTTAGCACTAAAGTACAGAGTTACTCGGTAAAATAGAAAAACCATATAGCAAGTCGTTAATTTGCAAAATATCAATCCATCATATCAGCCTGGACTGTTCCTGTTGCAAACATCAATCCATTGTCTCACATTTCATTGTTCATGCGTTTCCTTACAAATTGCATTGTGTTCCCGCTCTTCCTTTCTTGATCTTCCCCCATCTTCTGCTGCCGGACATTACGTTTTATAACTCGCGTCATACACTACTTATACCAATATAAGCAGCATACACCACAATACTACTTCGTGTTTTAATCCTGTTTTTGGGTTGATAGGAAGCGTGACAACAGTAAACCGACTGATTTGTTCTAGGTCCACCGTGTGTTGTTTATGATTGGCTGGTCTTATTTATCTCAGATAAATTATACTTCACCAATGTTCTTATTAATTACTCGTACTTTACACATTGAGTTTTGTTGGACGGTCATCAGAGAATTTCTTTGACCTGGATTTTCTAGACAATATTCAGCTTGTTGAAAACCAAGGTAATTTATAAGGATTTTGTAGAACAGTAGGGTTTAAGTAAGAGGGACGCTAAACACTAAAGGTTGTTATTATTAATTCCGTTGGAGAGGGGCAGGTGTGTCGCAACATTAGTCTATAATGATAGTTATCATAGTCACCTACTTACAAAACAATAAAGTCGTTTTTGCAAGCTTAAAGATAAGACATCGGTCACGATCGTGATTGATTATATCGGTCAACAAAGTTTCAATCAATCACTGGATTTCTTTCGAACTTTTCGCATTCTTCACATAGTTATGCACTGAATTTCCAGTGATACATCATTATGTAAAAAACCATTTTATATTGTAGGTATCATTACCAAGGTTTGATAATTTCGAATAAATTGAGCATTGGGTAGATTGTTATAAATAAATTAATCAATATATTTGTAATATCCCAATGCGTAGACAAATTGAATTTTCTGACGCTTTGTGACAGTGTAAGCCACTCCTTCAGAGAATAAATAACCAAATCAAAATTAATCCAAGTTTTATTCATTTTATATTATTCATCGTGCTAACATTTTGCACATGGTTAATAAGAATTTTTGTTCTGTTACTTTTCAGGGTACATTTTATGCTATGGATAAACTTTCAACTGTTCGACAATGGATTTCTGAATGTTTAGCTAAGCCTTATTTATTTCGATTATATGCCCCACCAAGCATTCAAACAGCCACACTTACGAATGCGCCTCCGACGGTGCCTGTTGAATTAACCGATGATAATCTTAGTTTAAGCGAAGTAGGTTTAGCACCTTCCAGTTTAATCAATTTGACTTTCATTGATCGTATACAACAAGAAGCGTCTGGGACTAGCGTTTTACGCTTTGATTTAAATCAATCGGTTGAAGACATTTAGAGTATTTTCGTCATTTATATTCCTTCTGCTTCTTTATTCCACATCTGCTTACTACTTTATACAAGAGAGAGAATAATCATTTAAATGCTCCTTGTTTTTGCTATTTCACATTGTGTTGTCAACTACTTATTCAGGGACTTACAAAAACTTTACGAAATATGCATATATATATATATATATATATATATATATATATATATATATATATATATATATATCATTATCACCTGTTTAAACTGTGATATTCATCCATCAAAAAGTTTACTATTTTTTATTGAAAACCTTCCTATACCCAACTAGGCATTTGGTTTGTGTGAGGATTTATGTAATTGTTTGTTCATTCATTATTACTTCAAGATTATCTTAAACTTTTTCATGTGTCTGTATGACGATGAATTAGTCCCATTCAATAGAATGTAAGATATGATTCTCGTCTCACTAACATCGTAAGGGAAATAATTGTCTTGAAATATCTTCTTTTTAAGTATCATTTGAATTGATATTGATGTTCATTTTTAACTCCAAGCAGTGTATATATCATCCCGTTACTATTGTTTCAGTCAGTCACAACGTAAAACCTGGTACGTGTTTACATCGGCTCGATTTGCCAGACCCCTTTAGCACGGGGATGAAATTAATCCAAATCCCAGAGTAGTAGAGGTTGTAGTACAAAATATTAGGCATCGAAGGTACGATTCAAGAAATTATAAGTTAGTGGAATTAAAGCCAGAAAAATTATGATGAATTCAAAAGCTTTGGATTTGGGGAAGGCAAAGAATGGATGCACCTGCACTATTGCAAACGATTTTGAGCCATTTCATTCAAATTATTATTGCTTACTGATACTCACTAATGATGATGCATACTTCGAACCTTCTAAACGGTCATTTCCACAAAATTAGGAAACACAATTTTGGCAAATACATAATTCTTGGTAATTTATTGCCAAAGTCCCAGCTAACACTTAAAATTGGTTGCTTATTAATTGAGGGTAATCAACCTGAAGCCTGATATCAAATTTCTGTTAGTTTCTCTTTTGTGTCAACAACCCTAAAGAAACTAATGCTTCGAACAAGTATTAGTCATTTGTCAGTTGGAGACAATGGGACTGAGGCATTCAGCCCGTAGCTAATTTATTTACGTCGTATTTACAGTAATTGATCGCTCAGTAGTAACCTACATCATGATTCCTAGTCCTTAGGACTAACTAGATTCTGTTGATCGAGTTTCAATATGAAATTCAGGTTAATGAACTTTATCGGCGGTAAAACCTCTGAAAGTGGTTTAAGCACCAATTTTTCAGGATTGTCGATGAATTGTGAAGTTGGGAATGGTTGTGTTAAGGAATCTGTTTGTCATTTTCTAGTCGACCTATTGTGGTTCGTCAAATGCGGAATAATTCACCTGATTTTGATATACCACTGATTATTTAACTACTCAGACGTATGACCAGATAACTTAGTTAACGAGTCAGCCAGCAACTCCCTTTGTGGTTTGGAAAAAATTAGTACACAGATGTGTTTTTTAATTGTACTCGGTCGATAGTAGACTTATAGTAAGTAGAATCAAGGAATTCATAGTGATTTATCAAATAGTGATAACCAAAAGTAGTAAATTAATTAATTAGATGTCTTCCATAGGTGTATGTAATTACTATCCCAGAATTAAACTCAAACTGTGCAAAAATCTACATTATTTCATTCAACATACAGATAGACTACTAATAAGTATAAGAATATTTAATGACTGATTCCTTTGAATACGTTGTAAATAGTACTGTTTACTACGGGAAAGAAATCTTTCTATGTTATTACTACTACTACTACTATTGTTGTTTTGAATTTCTACACATCTACTTCCACACCATGATTAACATGTTATAGAATAAGCTTTTTTTTAAGAAAAGAGACATATCTACTCTTTTGTACAAATGTTGTTTATTGTTCAACTGAATACAAAAACATTTACATTTTTTCAACTGTTTCAATTCCAAGTATATCAAATCCACATTTCATTACTCGAGCAGTAGCTTCACATAATACAATACGTTCTTTATTAATTTGAATATCACCTAAAGTGAATGAATAAATAAAGATCCACATTACAAACAGTAAAATGCAAGGTGTCGAAAAGTGAATGAATCATTCCAAAATAAAGCATTGACGATAAAGAATACGTTTTTTTTAGAAAATCTTTTTGCTGGTATGACATCGTGTATTGACGTTAAAATAGTCTTAAATGAAATAATGGCCAAAATTTGCAGTTCAGAAGGAATGATCTGATGCAACAACCAATCCAATTCAAGGTCGAACGAATAAGCTGTTAGTCACTTGTGGATGAATTTCGGAGTTATATACTGGTGTTGAAAGCTTCACGATTAAACCAATCAGTTAAAACGGCAATTTCGACAAAAATCATAGTTCATTATCTTAATCTTGATTTTACTCATAGTCAATTATTATAATTAGTATTTCTGGTTTACTATCCTACATACACACTACTAATTAAAAGCATTTGGAAATTACTGTACGATAAATTATAAATTAGGCACTAATTTTTACGAATTAAATTCGCTGTAAAATGTAGATGAGTAAAAGATAACTTGATCGAATAACCACCACTATGTACTTCAATCATTAGTTACTAATGTTATTCACAACAGAAAACAAATAAAAATAGGACATCTAATCATGTAATAGTACGAATCTAATGCCGTCAACTAAAAAATGATTAACTTTATTGAAGAAGTAGACAAATACATACACTTACCGGTCTCTTGATTCCGTTCAATACAATAACATGCATCGTAAAAGTTTGTAAAGTCACAACTCAAGTCGTACAAATAATCGCATAGGCTATGCAATAGAAAGTCATTTTGAATTTTTAGTAGAATATCTGGTAGACGACATAATGCTTTGGCTAATGTCAACTCCATAGGATGTTCAAATCTCAGTGGTACTGTTTCACTAATTTCATTGATTGTTCTTTCAGAATAACCTGCATTTCTTATAATTGATCTGTAAAATAAAACCATATAACATAAAATAATCATAGAATTGGCTTGTGTGAAGTTAGTGCACGTTTTGGGTCATTTAGAGCTTAGACAAAAATATACAGTGATATTTCAATACAACGATAACTCTATTGTGTTTTCGAAAAAAATTACTTGGAAATCAACGAGTCACATCACTGATAAACATTTTTAAATGGAAATAAATATCGGTTTTGTATGTGAAACGAAATATTAGTAATGTTATCCAATACCAAAAGTTACCCTCTAAACGTATCAAAATGGATCGAAACAATACTGTATTAGCTTCTTTTTGACAATCATAACACTACTAAAATAAACATTTGGTGTTGGAGTGAAAAACAAGTAATTCTATGCAAAGAAAATAGTCAAGGCGGTATTTCCTCAGTCAGCAACCTTTGTATTAATAATCTTACTATATAACCAGGTTTTTTCCTAAATGTTGCGCTATTGTATGCCATAGCCGTCTGCCAAACAAATTCAACCAAATTACATCATGTTTAATTGGAAAAGTATCTTAACTGCTAAATAGAGGCTGCATTGATTCTACGACATTACTCCTACTTAAAATACAATTAAGCGGGATGTACTTTAAAAAAATTAGGCAGTAATAAATATCTTACGCATTTTTATGGTTCACACTACTGAGGGCTCAGATAAAAAGAATATACTCTGATAAGATCGAGCATTAGTGGGTGGTGACCATCAAAAGGGCGCATATTGATAAAGGTGATCAGTGATAAGGGTAATGACATTATTGAAAGTGTGAAACATGTTCGATTTACCCTCGGTCCCTTGACCTTACGACTAATCGAAAACAGCTTGTTGTGCTAATGGGGTGTGGCGACTTAGACTGATGTATATATATATGCCTGGTCCTACGTTGTAGCTGATTGACTGGATCAAAACGTATGATGAGTCTACTTTTAATAAATACTATAAATTTTCGGATTTGGTAACAAGTTCTTATTGGCCTAGTCATTTTATCACGTACGTCTATTTAGAATAGCTAGGTTATAACCTATTAAAACGGGTATTTGTGTTGGATTCCCTACCGATCAAGGGATTATTAGACAATTTTAAGTAACCGAAAATGTCATAGACTTGATTACGATTAAGCATTTGCAGCGAAAATGTAATATATATATACATATATAAGTAATTACCTTATCCGTGTATATGCGTATAACAAGTAAACTGCAGTGTTTCCTTTATCATCCAACATCTGAAATTCACATTTAAAAGTTAAAGAACAAAAATTTTAATTTTTATTCAGTGATTTGTTTGACATTTTAACAAGATCTAGACAAATTTCAGTGAAAAACTATTCACAGAAAGCGGTTGAATATTCAGTGTACTTCGACATTCATTCGAATGGGTTGTAACAACTTAGCTGTTAAATGACTAGAAACTTCGGTTACTGGGTCGTACGTACGAACTCCGTCCCACTTTTGTTTTAGCTAACCAGATAGTATCAGTACTCTGAGTAAATGATAGATTACTTCCTAATTACTGAGTTACATCATTAATCCGATCAGTAATTATAATCCTTTTGAACTAAAAATTAAGCACTCATATATATATATATATATATATATATATATATATATAACTTGCTTATACTGACACTTATCTTTGGTTTCCTATATCCTTATTACTGATTCTCCAGTATATACTAGTTAATTTAGTTCTTATAATCTGTATTGTTTTTAGCATTCAGATTCACAATATTCCTGGCACACATTTTAAATTAACAGATCACTTAGTCAAATAGTATACTGATACTAGTTAACACACAGGTAGGGAATTTTAAAAGACATGGGAAATAGCAATGGTTTTTTTTATTTCTTACATAGTGATATCTATGGTATATACAACCTAACAGATTAAAACATAACGTCAGTTAATATGAATTAAGCTTAGTAACACAAATATTGAATCTACAGACATTAAAATATCTTGAAATCAG